CTTGCATAGCCAATATACTTCAAAAAATCTGTACACTACTATTCAAAAGTTTCAGCTGACTTTTAAGATATTATTGAATGATGCTGTATTGACATCTAATTGGTTAGACAACCAAAAAAAAGTCAACCTTTAGTAGATTGTTGTTAGAGGGTAGATTGAAGATAATACTCTTACAAAATTATTCTGGATGACTTTTGAACAAATTGAAAATTAGATATAGTTTTTGGACTGTGTTTTAAATGATTTTACTTATAAAACAAATCAATATAATATAACATTGTCAATGTTTGTAGAATTTAATAGAAATTAGCTTTATTATCAGATGAAAGTACAGAATCTTATGCTTGGCTATTTGAAGAGATATTAAAAGCAACTGGTAAACAGCCAGAAGTCATAATGACAGATGTTAACTCTGTATAGATTTAACAATTTACTAATTATTTTTTTAAAGCTATCTCATACATTGTGCTTTTTATCTAACACAAAACATTTATAAGTATTTAAGAAACTGCTTTGCAGATGATTATAAAAAGTTTATTGAGGTTTTTTTTATATATGTAAAAATAGTCTTGCAAAAGAAATATTTGAAAAAAGATTCAAAGATATCTATCTAAATTTTCTTTGTACTAGCTTGTATTTTGAAGTTTTATATTGCAACAAGGTTTATTGAACCCATTATTTTATATAGTTCAAGTTTACTGATAATATAATCTACTTTCAAATAGAATCTGTTAATAGATGTTTAAAACAGTTATTGCACAATTCAAATGCTTCTTTACATAAATTAATAAACAAAATTCATTAATTTTTGGATTTACAAAACAAAAAAAAAGAATATAACTTTTGAAAATTTGCTATTCCTTATATTAGAAGTTAAGAAAAAGTAAATTTCCTATTTAAAAAAATTGATGAATATTTAAAAAGAATTTTTATGCCTATTATATCACAAAAACAATATAATAAAATAAGCCAGTCAGTTTACTACAAAGCTATTAAACTTCTGAAGAATAATATTAAGATAAATTTTTAGTTTTTTTCTTTTATTTTGTGAATGATTTAATAACTTTGTTACAACCATAGAGGCTCTGTAACAACGATTAAGAAATAGAAATACATGATGTATCAACAGTAGATTTACAACAAATACTGCTAAAAGAACTTATATATTTAGTGGGAAGACTAAACAACATAATTGATATATGGTCAGTAAATGTTGATAATTCTATTGCCACAAAACATTATATATTATTATTAAAAATCAATCTCATGTATGTTCATGCTTAATGACAATTCAACACAGCATTGTTTGTAAACATTATTTTAAGATAATGCTTATAACAGACAATGCTAAATTTTATATTCAGCTTATTCCTTTTTATTGGTACCTTAATAACACTGATATGTTTGAAGAACTCTTTTTAAAAGCAGATAAATTTTATGATGAAATGTTAACTGAAGAAACAACCCCTCTGATCTCTTATTTATGTGCACTTAGTGAAAATAATCATAATTTTCTTGAAGAAAGTCTTACCATACTTCAGCAAAAGAAGATTTATAAAGAGTTACACAGTACTTATAAGAAGGTTCTTAATAAAGCCTTAACAAGCTGGTCTAACTCACAACGACTAATCGACATGTTAAAAGGGTTTGCAGAAAATGATGATGAGTTATCTGAAAATTCATCTGAAAATGAAATTGATAGTGATAAAGAAAATGATGAGTTTGTATTGCAGAATCCTAAAAAAAGGCATGGAAAAGGTCGGCCAGCAGGTACTAAACATCTCAAATCGGCATGTGAACAAAGAAATATGAAAAAACAGTAAAGACATTGTAAGAAATGTAGCGTGATCAGGCATTACCAAAAAAACTAGAAAAAATAAATTGTATTAATAAGATAGTTGATGTATAGGGTGTATTGTTCAATAGCACATATTACATTTCGGTTGTGAAAGTTATAATTTTAGGTTAAAGTAATTTAGTAATAGCAATTCAGGATCGATTTGATATTATACTGTCGTAGCATTTTATTAGTATTTATAAGAAAGTTTCTGTTTTCTATGCTTTATTTTTTAATGGTCAGTTTAACATATTATTAAGGTTGTAAACTGTAGTAATTTACTGGTAAAAGTGATGGTAATTTGATAACTTACAATGCTGATTTCATATAGGGACGCCTACAGAAAAAGGGATGGGACTATATATTATATAGTCCCATCCCTGCTTTTGCTGTGGACGTTCCCATATAAATTGCAAAATATAAGCTTAAGCCTCGCTAATAATAATTATTGAGAGACTGTATTCTCAATTATTGTTAGTGATGCTAGAATCAATGCTTGAGACGTACGTACGTACGTACGTATGTACATACTTAGATATGCACATGCGTGCTAACTGTCTAATATTGTATACATATATATATGTACATACGTACATACGTACGTATGTACGTAGAGTATTAGTGCTAAAAAAACATATAGTTTTAGGATATGTAGGTTAGTAGTGCCACTAAATTAAAGGTTAAGGTTAGGGTTTGGTGAGTTTTAGTTAGAACGTGATATTAGCATTTAATTAGAAAGTTTATGTTCTACAGGTTTGATCGGATGTTACACACTATTTGCTGCTGATTTGGTTCAAATTTCATGTGACTTACAGCTGAAATTTCATTGGATAATTAAAAGGCGCTATGGCGCAGGTGTGCTAATATATAAAATTCTAAAATTTATATATAAAAAAATTTTTGTTCAGGTATCTTGCGGATTGCCTATCAATTATTAAAAATTTTTTAATTAATTTTTATTAAAATATTTTATAATTAATAATCTAATTAAATTAATTTTTGTTAAATAAAACTTATTAAAAGCTTTTAAATAAAAGTTTATATAGTTTAAAATATCTAATTATAAAAATTAATTAGCAATTCACATAAGAATAATAGTATTTTTATATAGTTACTATAGACAAATTACTATGTTTTTATATAGTAATAAAAGCTTTTTTTTCTCTACTTTTATAAAAGTTTTATCTAAATATAAAGCTTAAAATATATATATCTTGTAATCTACAAAACCAATTTTAATGATTTTTTATATTATATCTAATAAAGCCTTTTTCACACTTTTAATTAGAAGCTTAAAGTATATTAGCATAGTAAAAAAATAGTTAACTGTAGAGAAAAAGAAGATTTCATAATTATATTAAATTTAATAAAAATTTAAAATTTAAAATAATTTTAAATGAAAATTAATATTTATACCCCATTTTTAATATCTGTATTTCAATTAAACAAAAAATACATCAAATAGATATTATTATTAAGTAAAACTCTTTAGTAGTTTTAAGTAAATTTGTTTTTTATATTTTTTGATTTTAATAATAGCAAAATTATTAAAATTGGATTGGTAGTTCTTATTTAAAATTAACTAATATTTGCTAAATTTAAATACAAATAACTTGAGAATTTCTAAACCAAATTTAATAATTTTACTATTATTAGAATCAGAAAAGTTAGAGAAACTTGGCCTAAGATTACTAAGAGGTTTACTTAATAACAACTTTGTTTTAAAGCATTTTTTGTTTAATAGAAGTACGAATATCAAAAATAGAAGCATAAATATCAATTCTCTTTTAAATTTGTTTTTAAAAATTGTATTTAAAAACTTCTAATCTATTAAATTAAATAAATTTTTCTTTAACTTATATTAAATACTAAAAATTAATAAAAAAATAAATATTTATTTATTGTCTAATATTTTTTATATATGCAATATATAATTTCAATATTAAAAATAAATATATACTACTGTATATCAAAGCAATCCAAATCACTATATATTTAATATTTCTTATTTACACAGTTTGCAAAATTGTATTTAAAATAATTAAAATTATTGCAAAATCTACTCTTTTATAAATCTACAAATATTTAAGTCTATTACCAGCTTGAATAAAACTATCATTTGAAGAATATACATAAATTTTTCCAGTAGAAACTCCAACAGTCATAAGACTAAGATCTAAAAAAAAAAAACCAAAACGGCTTTAATTATTAAAAATTGTTAATAAACTTAATAACTAAAATTTAAATTTACCTGGTGATAATCTAACAGAAGTAACAGGACTATCATGATTTGTAAACTGGTAAACCAAAGGATTTTGTTTTCCGCATTTATTTACATCCCAAATTCTTACACAATTATCATTACCCCCGCTCATAAGCAGGCTACTACCCGGTATCCAATGTAATGACATTATTCCATCATGAGGAAGACCATCATTTGGATCTTAAATTATGATAAAAGCAAATAATTCGTATAAAATGTAAAAAAAGTAAACAAATATAGAAAAATTTTAAATTACCATCATGCTTAAATGCATATAATAACATATTCATTTTTCTTGGATCAAATACATAAACAGTGTTGGATATTCCACCAAGTGCTATATATTTATCATCATGTGATATGGATATCACATTTGCATCCTTTTCTTGGGTTGTACAATGTACTTTTGAGCCGCATTGCAAATTCCAAATCCACATGCGCCCATCACCTTCTTCATTATCAACACCTGTGGTTCCACATGCGACCCATTTACCTATAAAATACAAAGGAATTTTTGGTAACTTGTATCATGCAAATCCAATGCTCATATTAATTTAATATGTTTATAATACAAGAATAATAAATTATTTTATAATTGATTTATTAAAGGATTAAAACAATTGCATTGGCATATAACTAAATGCGCATAAAGTCGACAGTTTAGCATAAATTCGTATTTAGTAGATACTAAACTTACCATAATGGGACATATCCAAACAACTAATGCCACTTGAAAAATAACATTTCAAAGAACATTCTTTTTTTCTTGTATTAATGTCCCATGCCTTGACAATACCTTGTTTGTCACCTGAAAAACCATTGTATCCAACAATGAGCAAGTTATCTGGCCCAAATAAAACGTCACTTCCAGCTCTATAACACTTTTCTTCTTGAAACCCTTGAGAAGATAAAATAAACTGATATTGGTCTTTTCTCAAAAAATGGACTTGAACTAAACTATAAATTAAAGATTAATATATAATTTCACATAAAACATCTTAATAAATTGTCATAAGTTTGATAAATACCCGGATTCTTCACAGGAAGCAAATTGATACATAGAACCTGTTTTTGGCGTTTGGCTGACCGCTAATCGATTTATTTGTGACTGACACACTAAAATTGGTATATTTAGGTCATTCAAATTAAACCATAAAATATGAATTATTTGCAATCATATTGTTACCTTTGGTGTCATAGGGTTTCTTAAAATTTCTAGTTTCGTCTATTTGCCATATCTGGAAAAAGTCTATATATAAGGAAGAGCAAATAAATTGATGTCAACAAAGCAAAACAAAAAACTTGATGAGTGCCTTGATAGTGGCATCAGTAGATGCGGAGAAAATGAATTTTCCGTCAGGCGAAAATTTAACGTCTGTGACTGATGTCCATAGATCTGAATAAAAATTTAATTAGAATGTCATTCACAATATTTAACAATAAGCAAAAGAAAAAAAATGAGTTTGAACATCTTACCCATTTTCGATTTTAAATCTGGTGCAACATGTCCATAAAGATTATATGCTTCTCCTAGACGGATAATACAATTTGGAAGTTATAACATGCTTTTTTTGTTTAAAAAAAATACAAAATAAAAATATATTTTACCTCTTGCGATATCAAGGAGCTGCAAATTGCCCGGTAGATTATAACTTGGATCTCGAGAAGCAATGTATGCAACAGCAAGAACTGGGCTATTTTATGGAGTTTGTTAATTATATATCAATGATAAAATCCATTCAAAAAGTGAAAGTAAAAGATATAATTACGCTTGAGGATTACTGCAATTCAAAGCCGTTTCATTAACATCACCACTGCCACACTTAAAGTTGAACGACTTTAATTTCTTAAACTTGTTAATTATTCCTGCCTCGGGAGATAGCTATGTGGTAATAAAATCAGAATTATCATTCGTTCAATGAACATCATTAAAACTTGCGTATATTTAATGATGAAATGTACCACTTTAGTTGTACTTGAATTAGTTACCGTACTAACAAGTTCAGTATCTCTCTCTGAAACTATATCGTGCTCTGATAAATAAGTAAGCAAGCCTATCGTCCGTTCCAATACTTTTGGAAGCGCAGTTCCTTGCTCCTAGTTTAGAAATTACATGCAGTAATAAATAAACTCCACTTTCTTAAATAACGAAACCGAAAACTAAGAAACAATTAACTAAATACCAAGATGCGACTATTATTATCATCATCTATTGCTTTTTGTATCTTAACATCTCGCATTTTTAATATAGATGCTTTCTCTAACTCTTTAGACAAAGAGCAAATGAACCAATGAATAAATACCGTTAAAATGATTGCAAAGGAAAATAGTGTAATAAAATGTACCTTTTTCTTTAGCTAATTTAATATAAAGCTGCGAATTGAGACATAAACATGATAAGAAATAAGCCACGAAATAGTAGAATCTTGTACAATAAACTATATACCTCACTTTTTCCAGCATCTAAAATTCGGAATAACTCATATTTATTAGACTTTTTTGGTGTTGAGGTCAGATAATAAGGTTGTGTATCTCCTGGATGTATTTCAGCATTCGATCGATTGTTTAATTTTTGGGAAGCAGTAACAGATGCACTTGAAGTCGATGGTTGATCGGTACACGTTGCTTCATCATCGCTTAAAATAATTATCACTGGATCAGATTTGTCTTCCGCATCACTCTCATCATCATCGCTATCTAACAAAACGATATGTCCGGGCGTTTCTTCTCTCCATTTACTACGATCAACAGATTCAAATCTTCCATGAGATATCTCCTGGCATGAAGATTTTGCTCTTTTATATGAAGTTTGGGCTATACAATCAGAGGAACGTTTACTAGGAATAACATCAGCGTGGTAAATGGGAGTCTTTGAACTCGAAGGTTGAACAATGCTAACATTTATTTGACCACCTGAACTTG